CAAAATTGTTTAGCTCTGTCATACAACACAACTGCTATTATCCTCTCATCAGTAATTATGGTTTTGAACAGGCTGTTTTCTCTAAACCCAAATTATTCCTTTCATGGCAGCCCAAATGCCATGAAGACCTGGGTATTTTTGATTAGTATTTTAACAGATACATACAAAATAGTTTGTAGTGCAGATACAGACTCAGTGTCTATCAGACTGTGGCTTTAAGAGGCTTATAACCATATACAATTATCCTTAACGTGTTTGGGAGTCAGGATTGAGGAAGTATCTACGAATTTGGGAGTATCCTCAGCCAGGAATTTCTCAACAACCATTTATATCAGAATGCAGGGGTCTGAGGCTGAGTTTGAGGCTCAAGTCTTCTACCAAAGTTAGAGTGCTTAATAATACTTCATTTTACAGTATTAGGAAAGTAAGACCAGGCTGATAAACATTTATGATCCATCAAAACTAATTGATGGGGAAGTTGTACATCCCCACCAGCAGATTTTTCCAGAGCTCCCTTGGGTAAGCAATTTACCACAAGTATTGAATGGAGAAAAATCATAACTGTGTCTCAACTGGAGAAAGAGAACAGGGTAGCGGAGTTAATCAGACACATGTCCCCTACCTCTTCAGAACAGGTCCTGATTTTATCAGCTACTAGGACCTGGATGTGAAGCTCCCAGAAATATTTTCCATACACTTTAAAACAACTTTGACTAGAGTTTCATCATACACTAAATGCCAAATGCTCTAAGGGTAACTAAAGACCCTCAACATCTCAAGCAGTCTTATGCATACCTGTACACTACTTAAGTCTTATTTATTAAGGAAAGCCTGTCCATCATAGTCCATCTCTCCCATTGGGTTTTGCACCACATGACAGCTTGTCAGGTGGCTAACAGAGCTAAGATGCCTGATCACAGCACCTCCTTAAAAAAAGAGGAGAATGCTGGTGAACAACTTCAGACACATCGCTTAGAGAGGCTTTTTTGATTATTCTAATTTTTCACTACTACTTTGGGATTTATAATGAGCACAATATAGTATGACTTTACCCTTTCCTCTTTAGAAGAGTTAAAAAGAAGGGCAGCTGATATCTTACTGTGGTTGCATAACATAAAAGTAAACCACAGAAAATAGAACTTTCTACCTTAATTTTTTTTTTAATTGAGTAAAAATCTGAATTTTTTTCTAATATATTTCTTGGACGTGTCCAGGTGAGTTTTGAATGTCTCCAGAGAAGGAGACTCCACAACCTCTCTGGGCAGCTTGTTCCAGTGCTCTGTCACCCTCACAGTAAAGAAGTTTTTCCTCATGTTCACATGGAACCTCCTATGCTCCAGCTTGCTCCTATTGCCCGTTGTCCTGAGACATGAGAGAGAAGAGCCTGGCTCCTTCCTCCTGACACTAAATTTTAATCGTTATATTTTAAAATCTACTATTTTGGGTAGGTTTCCATCCTCCCACTTCAGAAGTTGTCCTCTGTTTTGTTAAAAAGTGACAAACTGTACAGTCATCGTCACAACCTTTCCCGCTTCTGACAAAATGGACACATTGTGTTAGTGTTAGCAGAGTGTCCCTTTTACCACTTGCACCTCGCTGTACTTCGCATGGAGGATAGAGCTAGTGACTACCTTTCTGCTCTTGGTGACTGCCCCTCCACTGTGTGTGCTAAGTTTGCCCATTCTTAATGTCAGAATATAGCTTTTTTCCTGGAGAGCTCATTTTGCTGTTCGTGCACAGCTACAGGCATTATCTCCTTTATGGCAGTAAACATAGATAACTCCAGGTACATCGCAGAGATCTCACATTTAATCCTCACAGTTTGAATAAAGTCAAATATACCCAGACTATGCAGGAATACTAATGTTCATAGTGCTATTGAGCACTTTTTGTCAGAAGATCAGGAAGACTTAAGAAAGCCATTAGTATTATCTCTAATATGTGAAAGATAAAAATGAAATACAGGATAGTTACACGAGAGGCCCAGGTTCACACAATGATTGTGTTGCCAGTGCTTGTGAAATTATCTCATGGTATCTTACAACCCTTTCAAACCAATTCTCCAAGGGGTTATATTGTCCTTTGCCAAATCAAAAAATTAAAAGAAGTATCTCCTAATTACAAAAAAAAAAAAAAGCTGGAAAAATATGACACCTAAGAACCTCAAAACCACAGACTATATAAGGAGCTCAAAAAATTTATTATCACATCTTCATTTATTTGCATGTTTTTAGGCTTTTGAGTGCTTGAGGACAGTGATGATGTCAGTGAACCAGTGCCACCACTTATCTAGCATCACTACTAGAACTACTAGACATACATCTCTGGAGAAGTAACTGGTATGAGCAGGACAGCTTACATGTCCTGAATGAATCATAGAATCACAGAACGTTAGGGACTGGAAGGGACCTCAAAAGATCATCTAGTCCAATCCCCCTGCCGGAGCAGGAACACCTAGATGAGGTTGCACAGGAAGGCGTCCAGGCAGGTTTTGAATGTCTCCAGAGAAGGAGACTCCACAACCTCTCTGGGCAGCCTGTTCCAGTGCTCTGTCACCCTCACTGAGAAGAAGTTTCTTTCATGGGTGGCCATCTCATTTTTGCTAAATAAAAGTCCATACATACCACCTAACACTATAATCAACCCCACCGGCAGTTCTGCTAGTGAGCTACCCCAGTACCTCTGCCGGCCAGCGTATGAGCGGGTTGCAACGGGCCGCGGGGACGCTGTGCCCTGACATGGCGGCCGATAGGCGGCGCCGGGTGCCCCCTGGCGGCCCCCTGGCAGAATGGCAGCAGACGGGCCCGGGCGCTAGTGGAGGCGGGGCGGGAAGGAGTCCCCAGGCCGCAGTTAGCGAGGCAGTTCGGGACGAACAGTCCCTGCTGTCACGTTTAAAATGTCTGGGATTGCACTGTATTTGTTGATACAAGGTTGACGAAGGCTTCTGAGGTTAGGACAGGCTTGTGGGCTGCGTTGTTCTTACCTTCTCCACTCGTCATTGCCTGAGGTGGCCTTTTTGAGACTGTCAGTTTTCAGCCTCACCTTCAGGGTCTCCAGGGAAAAGTGTGAAAACATGACTCAGGCAAATTTGATGGTTCAGAAATAAAGCAAACTTTAAAGTATTACTGTTCTTTTTTTTATTTTCTTTTAAATAGCATGTTTTTTAACCTATAGGATGATCTGATTTCCTACCTACTCCAGGTAGTAAAAGCCACAGACTTTTTTTTTGTAACAGGTAAACGAAGCAACTCAAACCTTTGAGATAAAAAAAGACACCCAGCCAACAGAGCCCTGAATCCTTATCCTAGGCAGGCTGTAATGCCTTCCAGTTAGCCTAGAAGGGAAAATTCTTTCCCTCCAACACCCAGCCCAGCATGTGGGGTGAAGGGGCACAGTTGAGCATCCCTACCAGCTCCACTGTCTGGAAAGGTGAGGCAGCACTTGCTCTCACCTGTCCCATCTCTCCCTCTTCCTGGCCATGCAGCTTCACCCCCTTCTGTCAGGCTCTTTGTGGAGACGGTGTCATTCCTAACCTGGCAAAAAAGTTTTCTGCATCCTTAGGTTGTTTTGGTGAGCTGCATCCATCAGCTCAGGAATGGTCCTGACTGCCATAAGCGCAGAGAGGGCATGGGAAGTGTAAGTGGAAGAGCAAGTCTTCTGGGGGAGAGTTGGCCATTAAATAGGCTTGGCTATATTATATTATGTCAAGATACTTTTATGCAGATTGATTGCTTGTGTTCTAAACCAATTGCTTTGGAATTGTTTTGTCTTAAGTGAGCTCAGAGCCTTTCCCTCTATGCTAGCTACTATGTAGTCTATGCCTATTGGTGCAATGTTATTCTCCAGAGTGCCAGAGATGCCCTGGATCTCACCTGGAGATTTGCTCACTGCTGAACTGCGGATGTTGGGCAGGTTGTGCTCTAAGCTCAGAATTGGATTCAACTTACACAGCTGTCCCAGAAGCACCAGCTTCTCAACCAGACGCATAAGCGCATAAGCATCTTCTAAGCAGGCAGATGCTCTGTAGAGGTTTGAGGATCTCAGGTGGTGAGTTAGGGACTGACATCTCTGCAGATGTGTGTGCACCACCTGCAGCATGTGCTGGAGCAAGTTGAGGCATACTGTTCCCTGAGTTAGTTTCCCTGAGTAGAGGACATGGGCCCAGAGGCCAGAAAAGAACTGTGGCATAGAAAAAGAGAAACCAGGACTGCAAGGAGGACCAAAGTGTATGCCAAAGTAGAGATAAAGCCTTTTTAGCTCCGTTTGTAAAATCTCTCAGGGCTACTCGAGAGCAGAATGAAGCCAATAGCTTGTGCAGAGCCCTGGGAACACAGCTGGGTTTAGTTGTGGAGAAAGGGTATGAGATAAACCAGTGTTTACAGACTGATGAACTGAACAAGAATACGCAACAGCATTTAACCTGGCAAGTAATCTAAGAGACATCACGTAGAATAAGTCTACTAACCCAGCTGCTAAGTGGCCAGCACATAGAAAAAGCCCATGGCTGTTAATGGGAGGGTGTATCTCAAGGGGAGGACTCAGGGGCTGGGCTCAAATCAGGTGGTGAACTGAAAGTGTCCTCTCTGCTGGAGTTTGCTTAGGGCAGTGCTGAATTTACAAGTGTTGAGTTTCATTTGTCTCCAAGGCGGTAGATACTGAATGCTGTGACTGAGGAGCTCGAAACCACTTTTTACCTCCCTGTAAGAGAAGAGAAAGAGAAAGCCCTGGCCCCAAAACAGGCAAGACCTTTCTCAGGTCAGTCTTAAATTCTTACCTCTGTCAGCAGCTGCTTCTCAAGCCCTGAGGATTTCACTGAGCCAATTTAATGCTGGTGAGCAGACAGTTTAAACCCATTAGCTCCCAGCTATCTGAATAATTTTCTCTCTGGAGCCTAGCACACCAGCCGACTGCACCAACCAGAACTGTGGAGAACTGCCACATTAACTGGACATTTGCTAACTGCTGTGGCCTGTGTGGTGATCATTCAAGGGCTGAAGAAAATGCCACTGGCTAGATCATTGTCCATGACTTCTCTTAATGGGCTCCCTCAGTGGGAGGATGAAGACTTACCAGTGGAGGACTTGTTGCTCTTTGAAGTTTCTTGGGAAGTTACCAACAAAGGTTTGTACAGCACTCTTAGGTGTTAGTATTGCTGTTTTCATGGGAGCAGTGTGAGGCACGAAGGTCTTGGACAAGAAAGGCATGAAGGTGAGACTGGGAAAAAGTGAGCCACAGAGCTGTACTATTGGAAGGGAGTGCATGTGGCATCTGTGTGTAATTGTGTGTGCTGCATGTTGGCTGCATCTGCCTGTGCTTGTGTGGGATGAGCCTATAATCAGGACATCTGTGTGTCTACATGATTCACCACCAGGGATAGGCTGTTTAAGCAAACATTTAAATGTTATGCCTGGGTGTGCAGATGTATAGATGTTGCTTTGAACATATTTATATTTTACCTTTCATGCAAATTCACTTGAGAATATAATACATGAAAATGAGCTGTAAAACAGACATCAGATTCAGAGTAGTTTAGCAATCTCTCTCAGCCTTCTAGAGCAGTGTGGAGAAGAGGCCAAATCTAAAACAGGTATAAATAAACAAAGCTGCACTGAAGCCACTGAACAAAAACTAGATGTCAATGACCAGCGGTCTTTATGCCAGGTGAAACCCTTTTGGTCTGGTCTTTGCAAACACAGGTGGAGCCAAACAGGGACTCCATGCTTTGTGCATGTGTACAGATTTAAAATTTGTCCACTGCGTGTTCAGCTTGTCATGCAAAGTCCACTCTGCTTGTTATGCAAAGACCTTTCTGCCTCCATTTCCAATTCACTCATCAAATCCTCCACTTTCAGCTAGGTGCAGTTTATCAAGGGGGAATGGGCTCCATTTTTGCCACAAAAGTGAGTTAGTATGAGTAAATGATTGACCTCATGTATCTTATTGTCCTGGCAGATAAATAGATTAGTCAGGAGAAGGGATCTGTAAACTGTTAGGATTTTAACTCTAAAGGGGAAATGTGTGTGAGAGGAACAGACACTGTTAGGGTTTATCTCTGTGGTGAAACTCGACTTACTATTCTGTGGTAGCTTCTGGTATTTCATCTGCACTGCAGTGCAATTTTACATTGCTCTTTTTAGGGTAGTGAGTAGTATCAATACACAGAGGTAGTACAGAGTAGCTTTTGCACTTTGAATCCCTGTGGGCTTATTTTTCAGCAGCTTCAGTCAGGCTTTTGGAGTGAATTTGCTATTGTCAGAACTTGGAGCATGCAGCATTTAGCTTTGCAGTGTGTGTGATAAATAAGTCACTGGCAAGCAGATGGCAGCAGAAATCTAGCAAATTCAGGTGTTCTTGCTCACATCTCTGAACTCTATAGTGTATGATATTTTCTGAGTCATCTGGACCCACTGGTTATAGATATCAAACAATATGTTTAAGAAAAGGTTAAACACAATTAGACTTTCTGTGTATGTACAAAATGCAGTGAATCTAGCTCTTGTTGACTTCACTGAAGCCAAATCGACTGACACAACTAAAATTTATTATTCTCACATTTTATGAGAGAATTAATATTTATGAGTATGTATATTTATTCAGTTAGTTTAAAAATATGGTGCAGTTATAACACCATATGGGCCACATAACAAGCCCTTATATACAGACAGGGCTGACTGAACTAGTCATGTAAAAAAATTTCATCATTAAAACCAGATCTCTGTGCAAAGTTTCCATCAACCAACCTTGACTGGAAACATTTTTGCAAAATGTTTTGCACAACTTTTTAATAAGCTTATTTCAGCTTATTTTTTTTCTGGTAAATTCTTGATACTGAAGGGTTTTTTCTGTATCTTCCAGGCAATTAAATGTCTAAGTCATGTGGTGAGATACTGTTCGCTGGTGACCTAACTTTTATAAACAGTTCTTGGAAAATGTTAGAGCACTGTGTTTCTTAGGAGAGAGGGTAGCCAAAAAAATATAGGGAGATTCATCACAGAAGATACATAGGCTTAGGAAATAATAGCTTACACTGTATTTTTCTGCCTCCTTTAGCAGAAGAAAGAACTGTTTATTTGACTAAGTAAGCTGACCCCATATAGATTTACTACTGATATGTGTTTTGGTTTTAATGTTGCTAAATATATTCCTAATATAGAGGGAAGGATAAGCATTAGCTGGGTTTATTGTCTGACAACCTAATTTTAAGCATTTTGTCTTTTCTGGCATGCAAAGTTGTGCCAGGGCAGTTCAGCATGAAGCTTCCTTGCACTGCTAAAGTGGTACAAAGCTGTTGTTGCCTATAGGAGAGAGTTCAAGTCTTTGTATTAACTTTGTGTGCACCCCTATATGCTTGGCTATGGGTTTGTTTCCTCCTTGACCTGTGCTGCTGCTTAGTGGTTGTTCCATTTCTCCATCGCAGTGACAATAAGGCTGCATGTCTTTTTTCCTGTGAGGAACACGCTCATAGATGACTATCTATTTATAATATTTATAATATATACTTTTATAAAGATGGCACTTTATAGGTGCTGAGCTGTTTGCTGAACCTCTTAAATATATTCTCCTTCAGAGGCTGAGGATGATGAAGGGGTCCTGCAAATTGGAGCATATCTGAATATGGATTGTGAGAGGATTTTCATGTGCGAGGCTGCCCATGGGGAGTGAGCATTTACTGGGATTTCTCTGAGCAGGAGATGGTACTGGTTGGTACTGAGGTACAAAATGCAGCTGTAGGGAAGGACAGGTTAGTTGTATGAATTTGGTGCTTGGAGATCTTCAAGTATCCATTATTTCCAGAGTCTCATTACTTCTTTCTCAGCAGCTGGTACAGTGGCGGTGTCTCTCTTCTTTTTTAAATCTAGATCATTTTAACACATGCTCTAACTAGCCAGAAGTTTCTACTTCTGTACTTTTTTGTATATTGTCTGTCCTGGCCACTGCCTGTGTCAAGTGGCAATTTCTGACATATATGTTGGAAAGCACCAGCAATTCCTTCTTTCTCTTTTCTCTGGAGCAAGGAAAGTCAAGGTAGCTGAAGGAGAGAATGAGAAATAAAAAAAGGCTCATCTGCCAGTATCGCTCTCCATGTGAAAAGGAACTCGCAACCTAAGCTGAGCACAACATTGAAATAATCTTGCATTGAAATCCCCCTGCGAAAGAAATGAGAAAAATGTAGTTTGTTTTGCAAGATTTTCCTCACTTTATTTGATTCTTGACCAATGGGCAAGACCCATACTCTGGAGTAGGTCTACTGTGTTTCTGCGACAGAAGGGAAAAAATGCAGGCAGACCAGGGCCCCAGTGCCCTGCAGTGCCACATGGTTTGGTAGTAATCTTGGAGAAGTTCAGCTATTTTCACTCTTCCCCTTCTCTTCTGGCCACCATGCTCCAGGTCTGGTCATAGCTCTGTACATGCTGGAAAGGAAGATTGGTTTTACTTCCCCTATAACATGAAGACCAATAAAAACCTGAAGGACAGAAGCACAAACCAAGTGGCTACAAGCTATGTAGGTCTTATGTCTGAAGGCCCAGAGATGCAAATTGTCAACAGGGAGCAGCCAAAGGCCATTGCAGGAGTAATGGCAGCAGTCCTGGACATTTTTCCCACTAAGAATTTAAATATTTAATCTGAGTACGAGGGAGCAGTCCAATTCTGTAAGTTACAGTAACAGTTAACTGTAGTTTAGTGTTTTTTTTCTGATACATTAATAAGACGGGCTGAGAATGTTCAAGATCTGGACTGTGCTCTATAAAGATGTATTGAAAATAATTCCAGTAATATTTAGACTAATATCTCCTGCTGTAATACTAACAGCTTTTAGATAGAAAATAGAAGAATGCTTAAAAATGCTGGGCAAACAGCCGGTTTGTATCATCATTCAGCTGTGAACAGATTAGCTCAGGAGTCACTGGTATACGAATCCTAAGTAATTTTTTCCATCCCTACTGGAATGTAGGACTTTGCTAAAAAACAAACCTTTGTTCAGTTCTTCCTGGAGCAGAGCTCTATGTACAGTTTCTCTGGTGAAAATTTGGACTTCTGGAAATTAAATCCTGAATCCACTGAAGTTAGTAGAACCAGCATTTCATCCTCTCTGCATTAAACATCCATCTGTGATGAAAGTTCCTTGGGAGAATGTGAATGATGTAATCTGTGACACACCTAAGCTAACACATTTTAAGGAGTGGGGATGTGCTGGCATAAACTTGGCATAAGCACAGCATCAAAGCCCCATGCATTTATAGAGTGGGGTGGTGTGTCAACATCAAATCAACCTCAAGTGAAATCTTGTGAATTGAGGGTGATGCACACAGAAATAGCTTCTGTATTGTGGACATCTGTCATAAATTTCAGTGTTTCAGCATTGTTTCAGAATATGTTTGGAAAGACAGAATTTCACAGAATTTAGAGAACTTCTGTCTTCTGATGAGTCCTGCCCTCAAACATAGCCAAAAATACATGGAAAACACCTGTTATCTGAAAATATTGGTTGGTTTTGTTTTTAACAACCTTTACTCTAAAAATGGTCCCCAGGTATCTCAACAAGTAATAAATGAAATTCCGACCAAACATTAGAAAAAAATAAATTCAAGTCCGATTTTATCATGTCTCTATAGATCACATACATTCTGAGGGTAAGGAGTAAGAGGAGAGTTGACTTAATTAGTAATTGTGGCAGTGAAGTCAGTTTGAATCCTGAACCTGAGGTACCACTGCTGTCTTGGATTCCATGGCAGTCATGGTCCTCTTAAAACCTTTAGTGCTTTCAGAGTGGCCTGGTCAGGCCATAGCAAAGAAGCTGAAGTTCCCCAGGAGCACTCTGTCTCTGCATAGCAAAGGTCTGTGGGGGAGGGCTTCTGCACCGATCAATGACAGTCTCTACTTACCTATGTCTCACTTGCATGGCTTCATTTCCAATCACTCTCCTTCCTTTTTTGGTTTCTGCTGCTCCTTTCCTCTGTCTTTATGCAATGTGGGCTGGGTGGGAGAGCAAGTAAGATGAATGGTGGGTATCTCTGCCAGTTTTGAGAAGTTTTGGCAGTTTCATGATCCTTCTGGAGGTTACACCTCTAGAAGACAATTTTTGTCAGTGCAATTCCTGGGTAATTCTGGACATTGTGGACCCTTCCTCATCAGGTGACAAAAAGCATTGGCAATGCATCTTTTCATATAACAGCTTGCAGCAGAAAGATCATATCTACATATTAGATCTTGCCCAAAGGTCTCCAGTTGCATAGTTAGATCTCCACCTCTGCCTCAGTAGCGATATGGTATAGGGAGGCTGTTCTTGACTCTATTTATTTAAACAGTTCTGATATCTATCCTGGAGGGCTCTAATTGCTGCTTAGATTTTAAATATACAAAAGAAATAATGCACCAGAACTTTAAATGAGGAAAGAAGAAAATGTCTGGAGTGATGCAGATAACTCTTTCAGACAAATTCATAATAGTTGTAATGTATATGAAAACATTAAAACTTAAAAAAAATTCTATGAAATATTTTCTGAGAAAATATTTTTGTTTTCATGTTCTATTTTCAAAAGACGTCACTAAAAACAAAGCCAGACTTCTCTTAAATTAACAAAATCCTTCTTTCCCGAATATTTTAGTTCCCCTTTCCTTCTCTGCTTATTTTTCCCTGGAAAAAGAGAGTATTACAGAATCACAGAATATTAGGAGTTGGAAGGGACCTCAAAAGATCACCCAGTCCATCCCCCCTGCCAGAGCAGGATCACCTAGACTAGTTTGCACAGGAACACATCCAGGTGGGTTCTGAATGTCTCCAGAGGAGGAGAAATGAGAAGAGAATGGAAAGGAAATAAATGAGTTAAAAGATTTGTTGCTGATTTCCTTTTTAACATATATCATATCATATATCACATATCATCATAGAATACCAGGTTGGAAGGGACCACAAGAATCATCTAGTCCAACCTTTCAAGGTAAAAGTATAGTTTAAATGAGATGAGTCAGCACCTTCATTCTGGCGAAAAAGTTAAAAACTTATTTTAAAAAGAAACAATAGAAATACTTTTCTCTCAAGGGCATTTTAAAATTATTAAAACTTAAAATATTTTAATAAAGCATTTTGGTGGAGATCATAACACTAAACCCGCCCTGTATCCACATTTTATTACTAATTCCCCATGTTTGAGAAAATCCAAACCAGTTCTCTGGATCTGATCTCTCCTGATTGTGCATCTATTTGTCATTTAGTCTTTTACTGTTTGTTTTAAAATCTGTTCCAAAGTACAAAACTTCAGAGGCTGCATACAGAAACCTGCAACATCATGGTATTTTGGTACACCCCCGTTGTTTAGAAAGGCTTTCTGCTTATATGACAAACTTAAAAAATAATAGAGAAGATGAGGAGGTTTACAAGTTTTGCAAGTAATTTGAGAATTCTGTTGGGTTCCAAGTGAATATGTAAATTCATTCTGTTACTCAGTAAGATACGTAATGCATTGCTTATTGGCACAGGTATTTCCAGGGAATTCAAAGTAACTGAGCAGATAGAAGTTATCTCTTAATTATATATAATGTGTTCCTTGAATTTGCTATGGAAAAGTGCCATTTCTAAAGTCAATACATTTTTGTTGACATCGCTCTGTTCTTCTCAAGATGTCTAAGTTATGCCCAACACTTTCCACATACAAGTTTCACTTGCACATTTTCCCTCCCCTGTTAATTAAAGCTTATGCAAAGACATGCTATGTGAGTCATATTTCCACAGTAATGGAGAAGATAAAAGCAAGTTTTGGGACCAAGTAACCCAAAGCTTCTTCACAGCTGTCTTCTGACTCTTTTTATTCTAAGTACTTTTCATTGCATTTCAGGCAAATCAGTGCTCTGCAATTTTCTTTTTACCTTACTGTGCAACAGAGAGCACAGCATCCTCTCTACTCTTTCCATCAGAACAGGTCTTCCATACATCTATGGTAGGGCACACTTTAGGATACACAGTGATACTAAGCAAAACCTTGTGAAAAGAAACACTCAGCTGTTGGCTATACAAAACAAAATCCCAGGCTCTATTCAGCTCCTGAGCTGCAGCTTTCTTATTAATCTTAAAATTATTAGCTGTGGAAACTCAGCTATCTTGCTGATCCCAATGCTGAGTGCCTTGTAGTGTAAAAGAGGCTCTTGTTCAGTCTTGTGATAGTGGGTAAAGAGCACCACTCTGGTCATATACAGCTTTATCATGCTACTTTGCTTTGCAAATAAATATTTTCTCTTTTTCCAGCTTTGCACAAAAATATTATTGTAAACTCAGTCTTTCTGACAATTAAAACCAACTAGTTTCATGACTAAGATTTCTACCAAGCCTGTTATTTATCCATGTTGGATTCTGGGACCTTGTGTTCGTACGGCATAATACCACCCCATGAGAACAGACACGTCATCATAACTGCATCACTTTATGGGTTGAACATTCTGACTTGTATTGTATAATTAAAATTATATGTTTGTCTGAATCCAAGCTATTCAAGTAGTCATTTTCAGCTTGTGAGCAGAGGACCATAGAGATAATATGTGGTGTCATTTATCTAAGATTTCTCTAAATCCCTGTCCAGAGCAGCTGTGGTAGAATATGATGACTATAAGTCAGTTTCTTCGCTTCCTGGCCCTAATGAAGGGCAGAAGAATAGTCTTGTGCATAGATTTCCTTCTGTGATTCCATGTCTATTTGACCTGAAACTCTTGAACTGTAAGCTTGATTTAGGAACATATACCTGTAAGATTCTTGTCTTCTTTGGTCTTGAATTACTATATAGTAGAATAATTTACTGTAATGATTTGTTGTAATAATTCTATTTAGCAAGCTGGTAGATTGGAAGTGTGTTTGTTTTTCTTTGTTAAATACCTAGAATTCTGAAACATCTTGACATAAAAATAGTAGGGCTAGACATCCTTCCAGTGTTCAAAACAACTGAGTATTTGTAAAGAAAAGGATTTTAAGTGCACAATTTCTTTTCTAGGAGCACAATTGAAAACATAGTTCTTCCATTCAGTTCCTAAGGACTGCAAGATACCAGGCATGTCAGGTGGCTTTCTACAGTTGTCAGATGATATAGTTTAATTAATCTGGGAACTAATCTCCCGAATTGCTGAGCAACTTCAGCTGCTTTATTGTAAATAAAGGTAATTTGTGGCAGATTTTTAAGGAGACTTGGGTAACTTCTGAAGATTTTTGCTGTATGCAGTTGGATGCAGTGTATTTGCACCTTTAGATACACTAGTATCTTTAAAAAAGTAAGTCTGGAGTACTTGCTATCAATCATTGGCAACCTGCAGTGCTGACTTCATCTTGCCTGATGTATCACCAAACATTTCCAAATTCAGTGAAGGATGAAATTTTTAAGTAGGAACACGAATTCCCTTCCTATTGTTTCCATTGTTGTTTGCTTGTACCTGTTGAGCTTCATTTATTTTACCATGCTTTAAAATCACTGGATCCATGCTAAACTTTTATCTGATGTCCAGCAGCTCACTAGCCTCTGATTTTCTCTTCTCTTGCCTTCCCTTCCACTTACTGGATTCAAGCATGTGCTGTTGTTCTTTTGAATTGGTGGTGGTGGAAAGCCCACAGGCTGGCACCATGGGTCCTGTGGCAAAGGGGACTTTGCAAGACTGCCCTGCCAGTGCATGAATTACAGGGCTGACTATGGAAAACTGTGAGGAAGAGCAGCGAAATGAATCTTGCATATCATGTGCAAGACTAGATAGTTTTGTATTGACTTGTCAGGGGACATTGCTGTCACATTCTCTTATACATGTTAATATTATGTTTATTTTTTAAATGGATAATGTTTTGGTGGAAGTTGCTACAGACCTTTATACTGGCAGTGTAGGCTACCTTCTTTCCAATTTTAACAATTCTTTAGAATGGTGGTGGAAAGTGACATCTTTTGCTTTGAGGATACTAGTTTTAATCCATTTTTGTAGTCAATCGTCCATAAAATCCATCAGTCCCTCAACTTCTTTCAATGAAGTGTCTGTAAGTGCCAGATCTGTTCTCACCAAATGTATTTCCACATCACAAAAAATATGTTTGAAAATTATAACTGCTGCTGCTGGATCAAAAGAAAAAAAAAGGCAAAAGCTGAAGGCTGTACTTGGGCTTCCATAGAATCAAGATTAGGTATGCGAGAGTGGAAGCATGAGCCCTGGGATTTGAGTCCCACAGTCTGTAACTGTAACGATTTCAAGATCCAAAAGGGAGGCAAAATCTGAATATGTGTAGTGATTTAACTAGAGGCGTATCTGATCCACAGGTGGGTTGGAGCTTATTCCAGGGTTTTGTGGCCTGTACCCCTTTCTACTTTTTGTTCTTTGTGATCTTCTTTTGCAGTGGGAGGCATTTACACTGTGATCCAGACAAAAGCCAAAATTACAGCAGATGAATGGGGTGAAAACTATTTTCTGATTGGTCCCTATTTTGAGCACAATGTGAAGACTCAGGTGGAAGCATGTGAGCCTCCAAACCGTACAGTTAAGAAGGCAATGGACACCATGAAAAGCCAAGGGTGTCAGGTAAATCAGATGTGCTATTGCTTCCCAGGCCAACAAAGCTGACTCTGAGGAGATTACAGTTTTGGTTAATGCTCTTGCTGTTCCACTTGACACAGCAGTCCTGGTCAATGTCACAATGGGAAAGGCTCAGAATCCATGGTTAGAACAACAGAGACAATTCATTAAAGGTTATTTTTGAGGAAGAACCAGTTTATCCAATTACAGGTTTTAACAGTCATTTATCTGCAAGTCTACTTAATTGGATTAATTACTTATTTACCCAGTCTCTAAATACAGTGAGATTTTAGTAGATACAATATGACCTTACTTTGCCTGAACCCTTATGTTACATTCAGCGTTCTTACGCTGAAGAGAGAAAAGCTTTCCACTAACTTACATTTTTTCTTACATAACATTATATTGAGTTGAAAGCCAAAAAGGGACAAAACACAGGTGAACTTAGAGAAACACTCAGCTGACAAAGAATCTGCTTCCTCAGATCAAGGCAACTAGCTATCTATTCCCTAGAAAGAGAGGTTAAACCACAGCACAAGGAGTGATGTCATCTGTGTTTCCTTCACTGTTTTTAACCAGTGTTTTCTTTGTGATCTCAGTCAAACCTCATAGCCTCTCTGTGACTCAGTTTCTCCAACAGTAAACTACGAATAAACTTCTTCCTGTAAAGATGATCTGCTGAAAGGAATAGAATCTACTGTGCTGATGGGCAAGCTACTGAGCTGCAAGCAGCTGCAGCCTTGAAGACAACTGATGACCTGAAAATGTGTCGAAGATAACATATGCTAAATCTGACCTCCTTTCTTGAAAGTCCTTATCAGAGAGCTAGAACTCGCCTTCACTCTATTTCACCGTTGAGTTCCTCAGAGATGCTAGTTAGCAGAAGGAAAAAATATCTGCTTACAATATGTGCCAAACAGATGTGAAAAGCATTGAAAGGCAGCAGCAAGAAAGCACTCTTACAATGTTCTGTTGCTGAGGAGCATGACACACTTTATTGTAGAAATTCATAACCTTCTTGGACTGAACCAGCTGTGGTACTGTGTTATATCCCTTTGTAACAGCATTTCTGCTGCTCTTAGTCTCTAATGCCCTATTGCATATTATGTGCAAGCATACTGTTGGACATATTCTTGGCTTGAGAGGTGGGCATGTGTGAACCTCATGAAATTCAACAAGGCCAAGTGCAATCCCAAGCACAAATATAGGCTGGGCAGAGAAAGGATTAAGAGCAGCCCTGAGGAGAAGGACTGGTGTTGGTTGATGAGAAGCTCAACATGAGCTGGCAATGTGTGCTTGCAGCCCAGAAAGCCAACCATATCCGCATCAAAAGAAGCATGACCAGGGAGGAGATTCTGCCCCTCTACTCTGCTCTCATGAGACTCTACCTGTAGTACTGTGTTCAGCTCTGATCTTCAGATCTGTCTTCAAATCTGAGGGCTGGAACACCTCTGCTATGAAGACAGGCTGAGAGAGTTGGGATTGTTCAGCCTGGAGAAGAGAAGACTCCGGGGAGACATTATTGCAGTCTCCTGGTACCTGAAGGAGGCCTACAGAAAAGTTGGAGGGAGACTTTTTACAAGACATGTAGTGATAGGACAAGGGATAATGACTTTAAAGTGAAAAGGGGTATATTTAGATTAAATATTAGGTAGAAATTATTCACTTTGAGAGTGATGAGACACTGGAACAGGTTGCCCAGAAAAGTTGTGGATGCCCTCTCCCTGGAAATGTTCAAGGCCAGGTTGGACAGGGTTTTGAGTGACCTGGTCTAATGGGAGGTGTCCTTGTCCATGTCAGTGGAGTTGTAACTAGATGATCTTTGAGGTTCCTTCCAACCCAATCCACTCTATGATTCTATGGTATGTGCCATAGCTTTGGAAATTCTACTGGGGACACTAACATTGTGTGATGCTTGCATTTTTTAGGCTGAGGTTCAAACTAAAAGGTCTAATCTAACTGTCATTTCTTATTTCTAATCATATTTTCATAAGTGATTGATCAAGTTTTTCACATTGCCTCTGTTGCTTACAAAAAGGTGTCTCTGAAAGCTGTGTAACACTCCTTTGTTTGGAAAACAGCTAAAGACTTGTGGGGCAGATTAATTGCAATGCTATATATACACTTCATGCTGTTCCAGCAATACATTCAATTTAATCAGCCAACCCTCCCAGCCTAACATGTGCATTGTGCTGCTGGAGTATTCATATATAGCAGCAAATCTGTCCCAGGTACGTCAAGTATAGCTTTGATCTCAAATAATGACGCTCTAGTTTCCAGGAGCTGTGCTTATCCTATTAACACTTATGTCTGGATTTTGATTATGCATCACAATGGATCCCTTTAAACCAGGGGGCCTAGGAATGCTTCCAAACTTCTCAGGTCAGGTGTGTTCCTTGCCACAGCCTGACTCCACATTGAGATGAAGTCTGGGTTCACACGAACTCCCTGCTCTTTAACCTGATTTTCCTGAATAAGACACCTGATAGGCTGAAATAAGTGTATAAGGAGCTGACCCTCCTTCACACGTCTGTCTTTGTTATGACCTGTATTTTTTGTGCAAACAGGTCTGAGAACTTTCTTCTCATTGTTTTCAGGACTTGACCTCTATCAGGATTTGACCTCTATTCAGTCCATTCTAGCATCAGGGCTGGGTTCAACCCCTGAGGTACCAAGAGTTGGTGAATGAAAAGAGATTGAAGAGTGGCAAAAAATATTCTTCTATGTGGGGTATAAATTGCACTAGCCTCCCTATAGTGCTTTGTTTTTCCCAGTTAATATGTCTCTGCTGCTATAGCCGTTTTGATGGTAGGATTAATGTGAAATAATCTGACTATGCAGACTGGTACAATCTGTAGTGTGGGCCCAGCTGTGCTGTGTTGCCTTATGACAGTTCAGCCTACTCTCCTGGTTGGGTAGGTTATACCAGTGGAGTTCTAAATACTCTAAGAGATATTTATCTATACTGATGTAGATAAAGCAGGAAAGCTGTATTTTTCAGGCTGATGTGGTTTTAGGTATTATTACACCTTTTGATTGATCCTTCCATTCTGTCAAAGGGCATCAACTCCACTGCTTGGGCAGAATGAGGAAATGTCATGGTAGATGCAGGTCCCAAGCACCTGCCCTACAAAATCTATCGCCAGTAATCTGGCAAAAGACTGGTGACAAATCTGACGGAAATAGAATAATAATAAAAATAATAATTTTGAAATAACAACAAAAGTGGCATAGATCCTTCAGTAAGCACATAAGACCTTATTGTTCAACCAAGTATAATCTTCCTAAGGTTTTTTTCATTAAAAAAATGTTAACATTGCAACGAAAATCTAAATTGAAAGTCTTAAAAAGAAAATGTTCCTTAAGATTGTAGTTTCCTTTTACTTTTGCCTTTGGTCTAGTATTACTCCATGTATTTTGCAAGGAAAACCAGGAATCCTGGGTATGTAGGACTGCTGTCATGTATTCCTTCCATAAAATATTTAAGATTTGATGGATGAAAAATAGTTATGCTAACTGGTCTTTACATTCACTTTAACATTTTCTGCTTACATCCTTGCCTCTTTCCCATAGGTATTTTTTGGAAGATGGCTGATAGAGGGCAGCCCATATGTCTTACTGTTTGATATAGGATCAGCAGCCTGGAATCTGGACAAGTGGAAAGGCGAATTTTGGGATGTCAGTAACATAGGAATCCCTTTTCATGACCGAGAAGCCAATGATGCTGTGATATTTGGATCGTTAACAGCCTGGTTTTTAAAAGAGGTACAATTAAAATCTAAAGATTTTCAAACCCGGGCATTGTCAGCAGGGCAAAAAGCTTTGGGATGTGGTCTCTCTTCTCCAGTTTGAAAATTATAATTTTAAGGAAGTTGATACCTGTTTTAGATAAAAATTGTATCGCATTTAAAACTTAAGATTTAAGTGGTCATTTAATTATTTTTCTGGGGTGGGGAGTGCTCTGTGTAATGTGTCTTTACTGTCACATCCCCCTCTGTTTTTCTCAGCTCCCTTATTTGTCACTGGATGCTCTTACAGGTAGGGTCTTAAACTGCCTTTTCCTCTCCTGCGGTAGTCAAGTTGTCGTACTCTCAAACTGTCCTTAAAACCAATCAATCCATACCTTGGCTATTAGATACTACCTTGCACAGAGAATAGAGGCAAACAGAAAGAAATAACAACAGCACTGTGACCTCACATGTCACTCTACCACAGCCTACATGAAGATGAGAAACTTTGTTAATCTGTTATAGGTGCTCATGATTTTCTTTCCCAAACAAGACTTTCAACAGCAGAAGAGCAAGTCAAAAGAAAGAAGAGTGACTGTGCAATCAGAGCTCCTCAACACTCTAAGAAGGATAATGTTCTGAAGTACTAGTGAGGCACATGTGCTTCTTGGGCTAAGGTTTAGGGCTGATGGGAATCAAGATAGATGAGCACTTAGAATCCTGTACTGCTTTGTCATATGAAAGAAAGCAAACACACAGAAGGCAGCATGAAAAAAGGTTTCTGAGGCTGGGTTGATGAGCAGGATTCATGTATGTTCTTTTTAATTATTTTCAGCTTTCCTGTCAGTTTGACGACAAGCCAAATATAATTGCCCACTTCCATGAGTGGCAGGCAGGAGTGGGTTTAATATTGTCTCGATCTCAGAAACTTCCTGTTGCAACAATTTTTACCACCCATGCAACTCTGCTTGGGAGATACCTGTGTGCAGCCAGTATAGATTTTTACAACAACCTTGACCAGGTAAGAGACATTTTTTTGCATTCCTTCTTTTTTCAGCTAATCAGGTCCTGTCTCCTTTTCTGCTTGCTGTGCTACACCGTATGTCGTATTTTCTGTCTTGTGGGATCATTTATGATTGACCCACAGCTGAGTGATAGGTTGTCAATACTAGAGCATAAGAAATACTGTTTGTAAAACCATGGCATGTCTAGACATGAATGCCTTTGTCTCCATGTGATCTGACAGGTCCTAAAGCTCAGTAGATTCTAGAATACTTGCAGTACCTTCGGTGAACCTTGATTTACCAGATTTGCACTGCAGAGTACTGAAAATTATTCAGCCTCAAGTCAAGTCTGTACCTCAGTGCAGTCTACTGATATATGAAGTAGTATTGCAGCAGTACAGGATAGACAACATTGATTCTTAACCTCCTTTTCAATAGCCTGGGACATTTTCAGAAGCAAGGGGAGAGTTACAGACCCAGACATAACTGCAACTCCTTGAGAATCTTCCCCTTTGTGTTCAGAAAAGGCAATTGACTCAAGCAATAGATGTTATGGTTTGGGAGTTACTGTTAGCAGTGTGAGTAACCAGTGAATGTAAAACCTATTCAGCTGTAGCTATCAACTGACACCTCACGTGCAGTTTCACGGCAATCTTTCTTAGTGAAAGGCAGTAGAAAAAACAGCCAGTAGCCCTCCTGTTGCTGAAAATACCCTGGAATGGCATTAATTTTTTGGTTTTTGGGATTTGTTTTTGTTTTTCCAGCCAACTTCTCAACTCTTGCAAGCCATAATAATACTTTCAAGCTTTTCAGGTTAGACTTAATGTGTAACTGGCAAATACAGGAAGTATTTTCTGAGTTCAAAAGACTCACATCTGTTTCTTGGAATTTTTATAAACTGTCTAGTGGTTTTGGTTTTCACTGTTCTCTTTCCACTCAAAGCATAACACAAACCAACATTTCAAGGACCCAGAAGTCTTCACTGCCTTCAGCAGAGGTACATTACATGATCTTGGATTTCTGATATGGTTACGGACAAACTGAGCAGAAGAGATTTTTGCATTCCAGCTTTTATTGAGGGTAGGGATAGTTAAAAGGCTAAAACAACTGCCTTATTCACTGTTCATATGTTTATTTCACTGACTAAAATCAGTGAAGAAAATTATTCAGTTGTCAATTTTCAGTTGGATGTTTGTTTCAAAGCATGTCAAGTTACAGCGTCTTCTAAAGACAAGGCCCAAGTTGTAGTGTGCTACTGGCCTTATTTAGAAGCACAGAATAGATGCCATTTCCTTATGCTCCAAGGAAACCGTCATTCACCTTTCTCTTCTTTTTTTCCCGCCCCCCCCCAACCCTTCTGCAGCAAAAGCAACAACTGAATCTACTGAACACACTAAGAGTAAAAGACTAAATCTGCTCATTTACTCATATGCATAAAGATTGCTGTATGGTAGTGGGTAGGGGGAATTCTCTCCGCCCAATATGGGGTAACCAACATAGGTGGTTACTCCTCCTAGACTCCCTGTGTGATCACTGGAGTTACACTGGCCTTTTCACAATCAGTGTAAGGCAAACATCCTTAAAGTACCTTCTGAAAGACTTATTTCCATCTATCACCCAGGAAAACTAGTTTCCTAAATTAGATATGTTTATTAGGTGCATTAAAGAGGCAGTACAAATAACCAAGTCATGCTGTCAGACCCAAGTTTCAGGAGTCTAGACGTTCCTACTTCTGCATAGTCTCCTTATGTGTGTAAATGAGAAGTCTAGCTTTGAAGTCACATTAAACTATTTTTCTCTGGGCAGAGCTAGATTGAAAGAACTAAACCCATGCAGTTTCAGGTTTTACACTTGAGAAAGGGGAGATTTTTCTGCGGTAACTTTGTTCATTCACCCTTGCATTCTTAGAAGAAAAGGAGGCTGAAGGGAGACCTTATCGCTTAGAAACTGATGCTAAAAGTACTATGTCAGAGCCTTGCCTTCCTTTTGTAAAGGAAATTCTAAAAATACTGCTCTCTTTTGTATTCTGGTTAATTTGGTGAGCTACAAGTAGTCTATCAGAACAGGCTGGTTTTCTCAAAAGTAACTTTTTTTCCCTTCATTATAACTTTAGGGACCTCACCGTTGTCCATATACTCAAAAGTAATGATCTTACATCTGAGCAGACTTATAGATTTTAATGTACCTATAATCTAGCCATAGTAGTAACAGAATTTTTGCTGTTCACACATGACATGGCCAACTTTATGTGATAAGGTACTGTACATCCTTCTACAAAGCTTCACAAATTCCACTGGTAACTATTCACTATGTGATAAATACAGAAATATCTATTCAGATTTTATTCTAAGAATATATGGAATGAAGCATATGTATCAGTTTCAAGTATTACTATAAACTGATGTAAACAATATGTAAGGGAGAAAACTTTGTGGATTTCTAGACCTTAATGCTTTATGCCCTCTGTGAAGAGATTGACATTTAAAGATACTAACAGAAGAAATTATACCAAGCCATTATGCTACTGTTTAACATGCTTATAGGGTGTTAAAGCTCTTCCTCACAATATTAGCTTTTAGTAAGAGATCAGATATCTTAATGAGGACTGTTTTGGCTGTAAAAAGGCCAACCTGGCCCAAAAGTCAGAGAGGTTGATCTAGAGTACAGTAATTAATTAATACAGATAGCTACATTTTCAGGGGCTACTCTTGTTGCTGTCTTCTAGTAGTAAACTATTAAGTTCAAACAAAAAAATTGTCCATTGAAGAAGATTCTCCAAGGCTTTCTAATGTTTAATCTTTGAATGAGACAATATTTTTTTAGAGCATGTCATCACCTTCTACCCCAAAGTAGAATAGCTGCTTTTCTTGTTTCAGTGCTACTGTATAATTTTATTCCTTTAAAGTATAATAGTAATTGACTTAAAGTTCTCACTTTTAATCAGTGTTTCATGGTTAGATCACAATTTCCACCAGCTTTAAGCACTGCAGCTGACATGGGTGGAAAGGATGCAGCTGTAGTATGTACTGTGCCAGATATCACAGAAAAAAAGTTTGCAGTGCAAAGGAAGGGATATGGCTTGGTTGTGCCTAGACAAAATCAGGTATCCACAGCTTCTACAGAGAAAAGAGGAAACCTCATGTTCCCTTTTCTAGTCCTCAACACAGTTCACAAAAAGCTGGCTAGAGAGAGCTCTACTCAGCCCTCTGAGGCTAAATGCTTTTCTGCAATGTGGAAAGATTTAGTAATAGGATCCACAGGCAAAACCATGACATGCTTGATGACTGATAAAAGATATTTACCTGGCATCTTCACAGTCCTTTCTCCTTTCACAGTGTCCTGGGTGTGTGCAACCAGTGTGGTGTTCCTCACTGCAATATTCCCTGTTAGCCCTGACACTGTTACACATTCTCTGTTTGTCCTCCATTGTTCATCAGCCCTACCTGCTCTGCGCACTCACACACCGATGCATGTGCCCGTGCCCACACAGTGCAGCACTCTTTCACTTCAGTGTCAAACCACCCCTGTAGCTAAGCAGGACCAGAAGATACGAGTTGAAAGATCTCTTTCAAAAATTTAAAAGATTACTGAGATTTTCTTTCTCTGGATTCCACAGTGGAAAAATGTCGCTTTAATTCACCTTCCTAGCAAAGCTCGATATGTGCCAATTGACATTAAGTATAGAAGGTACAAATGTATTCTCCGAAGTAAGCCAGTGAGGTCAGTAGCATTAGACCAGAGAAGACTTTGGCCCAGGTTCCAGCCTGTTTGGAGTGAACATTAATACCAGTGATCAGGCAAGGGGCGCTGTTCTGCAGTGTGGCTGACTTTTTCTCTTGCACTTCTGTGAACAAAGAGTTCAAGTCACCAGCCCCTGTCAGGTGATAAAACTGGAAGGGAAGGCTCTGTGGTCTTCTCATAGCCCTCACAAACACTGGACCTGTGAAAACTTGAACTTCAGCCTTACTAGTCTTTCTGGGAGAAGTCAAGAATGATTTAGTGATGAGTTGCCATGCTGTGATGCATGATTCTTTATGGACTCCTTAAATCACAGAGGCCTGAAATGTAGGCTATCAAAACTCTTTGTTCATGAGCTGAGGGCACATGTCAGCCTGTGAACTGCAAGAAGACATGTTCTGGGGGACTGAAAATCTAGTCAATGTAGTAATTAGAACTACTGGAAGATAGGAGGGTGCACTGTGGCTGTAAGACTGTAATGTCTGACTTTTGACCTCTTCCTGAGCCATCTGCTCTTTGCCTCAGTCAGAGATAGGATTCTGGTCCTTATACAGCATTACTGTATGAGGTTATACAATTCTTGCATTCTTACAGTCTTAACTCAGTTCAGCTGGACTGGGAGAAATTTAGCTGTCTCTGCTTCAGTGAAAACCTGGATCTTAAACCCTTAACAGTATGCACAGGAGCGTAGTAAACATCACAAGTAACACTGTTGTGTCCTCAACGGCATGTAACAAACAACAGGGCTAGGTCTGAGCTAAGGAACACTGAGGCAACAACCATGTAACAGCTATTCAGTGTACCTTGTAGTTCCTAGATTCACATTTAAATCACTCAGATTCTGGAGGAAAGAAGGTAAGGAAAACAAAAATAACAAAATGGAAGGTGACTTGCACAGTAACTGGTAGTTTGTGGTATTTTTATTTACTTTTAAACATCTGAAGCACCTTGGGTAAATGGCTGGGTCAGGGACTGCTAACCCTACCTACAGGTTACTAGCTTGAACTCTTCCAAAATCAATACTTCTGAATCTCAGTAATAAGCAGGGTATAGTATGAACTTAATTCCTAACAGAGAGATTATCATAGATTAAACTATGTTTGAGAAGTTTTGCAGATCTAAATAGTCCAACCAGCAATTAATTTTTCACCATTGTCCCCATGTCCAGTGTAACTTTTACACTGGTGTAAGTCACATTATATTTGTTGCTAAGATAAACTGAACCAAAATAGCTAATCCAGAAGGTAGGAAGTTCTGTGAAAAAAGTTCTGTGAAAAAA